CCCGCACCCGCCACGCCGCCTGGGAGGAGGAGAACTGATGCCCCCGGAGCGCGGCCGAGCCAGCTGCCGGCACCACATTCCACAGGGACGCTCTGGCCGCACCACGCACCTGCCGCCCCCCACGGCCGTGGGCTGGGGCGCAGAGGGCAGGCGGGCAGTGCAGCTGAGCTGCCCCCCTCCGTCCTGACGGGAGCCCCTAAAACATGCATTCCCAGGAGAAGGCGGGGGTGGGCGCGGGCTTTTTGCTTCCCGGATCCACCCTCAAATGTCTTCACCTCTGCGGCTGCTGGGCACCACACACGCCAGACTTCTGCACGGGCAGGAGCCGCCCCGGCCCGCACTGGGGTCCCGTGTGAGGCCCGGAGCCTGCAGGTTCCTCCAAACTTGTCATCTTCCTAACTCCCCTCTTAAGGTTCAAGGTTTACATGATAGAATTTTTAAACAAATGTGTTTAATTTTCTAAACTCTTGTATTAAAATTTTCTTTTGGAATAAACTGTGGTAATTTTGTTACGACCTGGTTGAAACACACCTCTTTACCATGACAATAAACGCGGCGACCTTTTATAACGCAGACGCTCGTGCCCTTTGTCTCGCTTCTGCCGTGGCCGGGAAGTTAGGACCTTAAGCGGACGCTTCCACTATCTTCTACGCCCCCTGCCGCCGCGCCACGGGGTGCCTGGGCGTGGGACCAGGCCTGGCCAGCGTCAGTTTCATTTGAATCGAAGTGGAGCACGATCCCATTTTGAGTCACCAAAACTGGAATAGAGAACCAAATCCCGTACGGGGGGCGAGGGCCCTGCCGGTTCCTGCCCGCGTCTTCCTGTAAGCGAGGACGCGCTGTGGACACTGGCTGTGCGCTGGCCGGGCCGGCTGTGGGCGAAGAGCCCCGGCCCTGCCGACACCGGGTCTGTGTTGAAAGGGCTCCAGCTCCCCGGACTGCACCCCCTCGCTGGGTACCACCCTTTCATTCGTGATAACCAGACATATCGCCCCTCGTGTGGGGGGCCTCAGCGGAGAACCACGGGGCGGGGCCGAGGGCCCCTGGACAGAAGTGACAGGTCAGCAAGACCTGAGGGTGAGAGAGTGATGCTTTCTCGCCCTTATACACTCCCGCCCCCCAGCTAATGTTCATGGGCTGGAAAATGTCTGCCATGCAGCCAGATGTTTGTGTTTTAGGCCTAATTATGATAGTTGAGGAGAAGAGAAAGGTCCTCAGGAGGATAAAGCAAGCCAGGCGCGAAGGAGCATCACCAGAGCCCCACATGTGTCCCTGTGAACCAGCCCAAGCCCGCTGCTGGCGAAGCCCTCGGAGGAGCTGGGTGCAGGCGGGGTTCCGAGGGGACCAAGCCCTGCTCCCCAGCTCACTGCCCTTCAGGCCTGCCCAGAGCTGTGCCTGCCTCATGTCTGGACAGAGCAAAGCCTCAGCACATGCAGAAAGCTGCTCACGTCACACAGCTGAAAGGCAGAGGAGGAATGGGCCTGGGAGGGGCTGCTTCCAGGGGCTGGATTCCCCTGGCCCCAATCTCCTCCGGCCCATTTCCTCCCCACCCCCACTCCTGGGGACACAGCTCCAGCTCCCAGCATGCACTGGATGTATTTAATCTCCTGTTCAGTAAGGGATTGAGCCACCAGAAAGCTAAGGCGATGGGGCCACAGTGAGCCGGCCCGTCCAGCAGATGGATGGTCCAGCAGATGGACACTCCAGCCATGGGGCCCCGAGCACCTGTGTGGGGGACACGGCAGGGCCAGGCCACAGGCAGTCTCCAGACGGATGGTCACACAAAGCGCCTTCTCTGACCAGAGTGGCATAGACCAGTAACAGGGCTCGCCAATTTGTGGACATTAATACCTTTACATAACCAATAGATCGGTGTAGAAATTGTAAGAGATATCAGAAAATACTTTAGGATGAATGAAAATGACAGAGCTGACCTCATGGGACTCAGAACGGTGGTGCCGAGAGGAGATGCCACAGTTCTAGGCGCTTAAAGGCCTCACAGAGTCGGAAGGAATAACCTGCCTTGGTAACTCACAGAATCAGAAGAAAGGACAAAGAAAACCCAAAGTATTTAGAATAATAATGATGGAACTAGAAACTCGAAAGGCAATGGAGGAAAGTAATAAGACCAAAAGTTGGTCCCGATCTTTGA